CAACTCCTATAAATTCATTAAATACATATCATCTATATACATAAGTATGTAGGTGTGTCGCTGTTTGGCTAAATTTCCCGTTAGTGGCGCTGATAATTTCTCAACGCCAGCAGCCGCTTGTTAGCTATTCAATTTTTTAGTGCTTTTCTATTTCAGCAACTAAAAAATGCTGCATACTCACCCATACCTACATATATTCATATGAATATATGTAAGTATGTACAAATGACAGTATGTATGCATGTATGTATGTATGGTCATGTGTGTTTTTCGCGCCTAATTGCTTGTTTGTTTTTGCGTTTGATTTGTTGTGTCTTCTGCCCAATTCAAAATAAAACATTTGCGTATGTAAATAACGCGTACGCACAACCACACATATAAACCAACATGCAAGCAGATGAGTAAAGCTAACACAGCACAGCTGTAGAGATTGTATGTGCGCGCTCTCACCAACACGAAGTCTAATAGCAAGTACATAGGTATGTATGTATGTATGTACATTAGATAACAGTAGTGTGTTGGTGCCAAATGCGGAAGCGGAAATGCTATGAATTCACCACAGCATATAATGTGCAGGCAGCGATTGTGTCGCAGAGAGCAACCCTTCTCTTGTGTTGAGCAAATTCTCACCACCTCACTTGCATACGAACATGTTGCTTAACATTGCGCTGTTAATGTGTACAGAAATGAATTTATAGTATTTATTATCTGTCAGTGTTGTGTATTTTTTTTTTACTGTTAGCCGTTAGCGCGTTAATAGCGCTGCTGTGGGTAACAGCGTATTGTACGCACTTTGAACAGAGAATGTTAATTGAATGTAATTTTTACATAGTCTTTTATGCAGAAGCTCGTTTGCAACCGGAAACCGGAGCATGTTAATGCTGTTCAAGGTTGTGTTGGTGAAACTGATTAGAAAACGTAAATTTCGATGACAACATTCGAGTGCAAATTTATGCAGTTAGTTTTTATAAATTTCCGAAGTGCTTCTGCATTTGTTTATTTTCTGAGAATCGCTAAGTGCCGCTCACACGTCTTTGTTACTTTTTCTTTTACTCTTCAATTGTCAATTTTGATTGTGACTCAGAAACTAGTCAATGCGGATTAACCGTTGAATATTGCATTGCGATAACGGGAACAACGTACAACGGCAAGGGAAGTGTTACATTTTGAAGCGAATAAAATGTAATTAAAGAAAAAATAGTATATTTGTTGAAAAATCTACATATAAATATATTTTTGTTCTTAAAATTAAGAAAACATCTCAAAATAATTTCATCAAATATTTATGATAAAATTTTAATGTGAAAATAACTTAATTTTGAAAATTATTTTGTGATTTTTTAGAAGATTCTTTTTAATTTTTATTTTAGAACCTCGAAAGTTTAACTTATATTCCGGATATAAAATTTATTAAATAAATTCTTGTTTAATATTTATATTTTTTGACAGAAGAAAAAATGTCTATTTAATGTATCATAAAAAGTTTTATTAAACATGTGAATTTTTTTTGGTATTATTTTTGATAAATTAAGAAAGAAGATTTATAACTTGGTACGCTTTAGAACCAGGTTTAGCGGCAATAACAGCTTAGATCTATGCAAGCATTGAAAGCTAAAAATTTTCTACAATTCCCTTTAATATTTTCTGCTGCTCTACCTTAATACAGCTTTTTTACGTACGCTTTGGATTAAAGTTTGATCTATCCTGAGCCACGTTTTTGCTTCGTGATTTCAAGTGCATCTCAGGGAACTCTCTGCCCACATCATATGCGATATTCTTCGACTTGCATATTAATTTATGTTCCAATACAAAAAATTCTGCTGCAATTTTTGGTCTGATTAAATGAGAAAACCAATATTTCTGAAAGTTTTACTTTTGTTCAAAAAGGGCTGAGCTCAAAACTGGTATTCTGGGAACGTTGCTATTATTATACTTTTAACGACTCATAAGCATCTAGTAAGACTAATTTTCTATAATAATTCACACTTGTTCTACATATTTTAATAGGCTACGAAAACATGCAGTTACGAACCTTATGGAAACTCTAAAATTGTTCCAAGCAACAGGATGATCTTCAAATATCTGCTTCTAATATGCCAACTTTTTAGTTAGTTACTAAGCAAACAACAAAAGCCGCCATAAGCAACTAATACATATTTATATAGAAAAAATGAAATAAAATTGTAACAAAAAACAGACAAATGTTTTGATGAAGATGATTCCGTAGATATTTTATATTATTAATATGATATATATACCTTGTGACCAGAAAGTTTCCGGAAACTTTAAATAAAATAAGCATGTGGATGACTGAAAGGAATTTTGTGGTTGTTTCAAAAAATATGTACTTATGATTAATATATGCCCGGTCAACAAAAAGCGAATCTAAATGCTTGCTGAAGCTGGACGATAGGTAAAATTTCGGTTAGAGAAAAGCATATTGAGAATATAAGGAAGTTTGGTTAATTTTCTGCGACTAAAAATAATTTGTGAAAGCAAATTTTTTCTCCAAAATCTTGATTAATTTCAAACTAGGCGTCTGTAAAATAATTGCATTGCTGTAGCACACAGCAGAATAGAGTTTACAGCCAGTACCTTCATCTGCTGCAAGGTGAGCAGAGAGTGTTTATACTTTTACATTTACAGGGCGCTGTAAAGTGCACTCGTCTCACTGTTATTTAACATGCCACGAATGCGTCGCACAGAAATGCATTCGCTTGGTTGACAGTTGACTGCTAGCCGGCCATGTGCATTGTGTCATCGGCTGCTGCTGCTGTTGCTGCTATTGCTGCCGACGTTGCGATCGACTGCGTTCAGGCATCAAATTGGGGAGCCGTTCAGTCGCTGTAGAGCACGCATTCGAATGACAACGCTTAGCGGATATGCGCGAGTCCATCGGTGTATGAATTATATGAATTCTGGTGTTGAAATTACGTACAGCAACGCTACGAAAAATGTAAAAATTATATGAAATTGTGAAAACACAGTGAATTGTTGCAGAATTGTGTGAAATAAAAGCGTTTGCAGTGCTATGTACTGAATTGAAATGTTAATCGTTAATGAGTCAATTGCAGCGAATTTATACGTTATTTCAAGTGTGCAAATGTGTGTTATGCGAATTTTCTAATTATGGGCAAGAGGTAAAGTGCTTCGACGCTTATGTTCCTCTGCATTTGCAGAAAGCTATGTTCTAACTAGCGAAAGTGTTGGGTGTTTTTTTTTTTTTTTAATTGAAGTAATTGCATTAATATCATTTATTTTATTTTTTGTTTGTTTATTATTTGCGTAAAGTGTGCTTTTGGCTGTTGTGATTAAAAAAGGATTTCATTTCATGGAGTGATGTTTTTTGCTGGTCATTCTTCGATTCAAAAAAATAATAATAATAAAACTGAAACAATTGCTGAGCTAGCATAATAAGCGACTTTCAATCTACGAATTATTATTGATGCCAAATAATTATTATTTGAGCAAATTTGTGGAAATAGTGGACTGATCATAAATAAAACAAAAATATTGTTAGCCTTCTCAATAAATTAATCATTAATGAAAAATATAATTACAAACTGGAAAAATATTTTAAAATAAATATTCAACTAAAAATTAGTGAACTATTTTTTTCTTTTTCAGAAAACTTTAACTTTGACTAAACTAAATTAATAGCATAAAAATATTAATTTGTGTATAGAAAATGAAAGCTTCGGTTCTATAAAACACAATCACAATCACTGTTAGGACTCAAACTTCGTCTTGAATGTTCTTGAAAAATAAGTGTTTTCGATAAAGTTGTAATTAAAATTAGTAAAGTAATTTTATTTTTTAAAGATAAAATTAAAATTTTGGAAAAATAACAGAAAGAAATTTCCTTTATTTTGTGAAAATCTTAATAAGTATAAAAAATTTTTTTTTTTTAACTTAAATATAAAACCTATTTTTTTAAGTCTACATAATGATAAAGCCAATTTTAAAGAATTTATTTTGGCCAACTTGTTTGCGTTGAAATGTGAAATTTCATTTAATGGTATTTCTTACATTTATCGGTTTTAAAATATCTAATAATTTTTTTGAAATAAAATTCAGTTTGCTGGGAAAAAAATTGAAACCAAATAATTTTTTGCGTTTGAATAGAAATTAAAAAGTTCTCTTAAAATTTTTATTTTAATAAAAAAAAAATGATTAAACATTTAAAAATGACTTATGTGGCTATGAGTGTTATAAATTTATATATTGGATTGTTCACTAAATAGTTTTGGTTTTTTTTTCTGCAATTTGAACACGAGTGAACAGTCGCATTAGACAAATTTAATCTTTCAGCAAACTCTCGAGTTTCTATTCGACGATTTGCATTGACCCACGACTTTATTTTATCCACATTGACTTCAACAAGGCTTCCAGGACGTAGTGCATCCTCAAGATCGAAATTGCCGAAACGAAATTTTGCAAACCAATTAAACAAAATAAATCAGCAAATCAAAAAAATATATATTGTATTATTTATGTTAAAAAATGTTAATTGGTGGGATTGAGCGTTATATAAAAGCGAAAAATTGCATTTAAACGTTATAAAAGGGTTGAAATATTATTAATTAATCTATAATATAAAAAAAATTAATTAAGTTCAAAATTATTCAATAAATCAAACTTTTTTATATTTTATTTTTCATTGTAATTAAACAGCTTCGAGTTGAGTTTCTGAAAAATAGTTTATAAAAATACAAAATTTTAATTATAACAATTTATGTTATATGCAAATTAAATAATAAAAAGAAACATAATGTAAAATTTTTCGAAAAAATTAAAAAAAAAAATTTTGTTTAATAAAATTTGTATTTGGTAGCATTGCGATAAATGTAGCGTTTAATTATTTTTGAAATATATTAAAATCATAACGGCAGCAATATTTCAAAAAAGATTTCTTTTTATATATTTTAAAAAAGCAATATATTTTAAAATATTTGCTAATAAAAAAGAAGCGTTCAACTTAATTGACTAACTTCGTTAAAATAATTCTTTTCCTGCATTTAAAAATAAATAAAATTCTATAATAAGATACTCTAGAGAACAGAAACTACATATCCACTCTTAAAAGCTTAATGCAGACATAACAAAGTAAAGAATTTGAAGATTAAAGACTTCAAGTACAGAATATATACGAAAAAGCTAGCACCTAACAAATACCAAAGCAAAAACAACAAGCAAAGTACAAAAATGAAAGAAGAAAACGTAGGCAAAAACAAAAACGCTTTCAATTTAACATATGAAACTAAGCCAGTGCGCGCTGTGAGATGATACAATTCGTAAGAAGTGTTGCAGCAACAACAAATTAACAAATAAAATTTTAAATTAAATAAAGAGCGAAGTGACGAAATACAGACAAACAAAAGCTGACAAGATACATTACTACATTCTAGTGAAATCCGCCAGTAGCAACAGCCAAACACACACATTTCCATATACATACATACATATATGCATGAGCGCGTATTCACGTATGCACACATCTTTGAGCATATTTACAAATCTACACCTATGTACATATACTAAAGTGTTGAGGAATTAGTATTATACATATATATGTATGTAACCGCGCGCGGCGGCGAGTCAAGTAGCGGGTGGATAGGTAGGTAAGCAGCGAATTCGAAAGAGGTGAAGACACGTTGCTGGGTTATCTATTGTACGTATGTGCCTATTAAGATGTATGTGTGGCATTTTGTTATGTTGGGATAAAATGAAAAATATAAATAAAATAAGAAAAAATACAGTAAAAAGGCAAATGAAACTGCTTGTGTAAAAACAAAGCGTCAACGACGCGAAATTGCATAGTTCAGCGTCATATAGTGCATACGTGCACCCTACGAGCATAAAATTGCAGCAACAACAATTGAAATGTGTAACAATTGCCGCGCAGCACACACAATTCACCTACACTCACACACACACGCGCGCGCGCGCACCTACATACGCACGAGCAACAGCAGCCGCACAAAAAATTAACATCTTTTACAACAAATTCGACGCATACATCCCCCACCCAAGTAACCCACTCGACAAGCTTAGCCAACGACAAACAAAATCAAAACATAATACAAAATTGCTCAGCTCACCGGCAAACAGCCGAAATTTACTTGAACGAACAGGCGGACGAACTCTTACAACCCACTAGCAGTGGCCGAGCAACATAGCCGGCTAGGCAACCATCCACCAGCTCAAAGCATGCGGCGGACGCGCGCGCTCGTGCATTAGCCAAGAAGCCGAAAAAAAGGCGAGCGACAACGAATCACGCGTCGAGAGTGAGCGAGCGGCGTGGTGGTGCGTAAAGGCACGCACACATTGACAAATCACCAGCAAGCAGCAAGCAACCCACTAAACTGCTAAACTGCCAACATTGTGCGCCCCAAAGTGTGAGAAGTGATGGCGCTGCCAATGGTGCTGGTGGTGGGACGACGACGTTGTGTATATGTGGAGCAATTGCTAAGCGCTGAGCGTGGAACGTGAAGCGGCTGCGTGTGTGAGTGTGTGTTTGTGGTTTGCCGCATCGGAGCAGCTTGCCGTCTGATAACTCATTAGTATGCCGACGCGTTCCAAGCGGTACGGTGCGTTTCACAAACGGGGTGCGAACAGTAGCAGCAGCAGACGAAGCGTTCAAGAGGCCGACAAGTGACACAAGCAAATTCAAATTGCAATTGTACAAGTCAAAGTCGAAAGCTAAATCAGAGCCAATAGTAACAACAAAAAATTGCCAGTAGCAATAAATTACTAAAAAAAAAAGAGTGAATAAATGGTGTTTAAGAAGTTAATTTTTTATTGAAATATAATGCAATTTGCAACTGTGTGTTGGTGCTGGCATGCTGCAGTGAATACGCGATTCTATTTTTGTTTTTGTTGTTAAAGCCAACATTTTACAGCTTTATTCGGCGACAATTGCCTAAGCGGCGCAGACACGCGGCTCTAGTGGAAAACGGAAAACGCGCGCGCACGCAGTTCAAAAGCTAACGGAGCGCAGCTAGCTGGACAGTGCGTTCGGGTCAAGCGCGCCATGCCGCCCAAGAGAGGCTGTACCAAGCTTACGAGCAGTGAAGCAACTGATGTGTGCAATGTTTCAAGTGCGAGTTGCGCGTAGGCGACGAACTTTTAATGCAGACGTGTAACGCGATAACTCTTGCCGACTCAAAAATTCGAAAAAATATAGCTGAAAATTTTCAAAATATATATTAACAAAAAAAAATAATGTGTAAAACGAAAATTTTTTCTGTGCTAAAAAGAAAATTAGTGTTCCAAAGTGAATTTCACAATTTTTTTCCATTAAAAAATTTTAACTTAGAAATTCCTAACCAACATAAATATTTGTGTTAAATAAATGCTAAATGTTATGCTATATGTTGTTTAAGAGAGCAAACGAAAAATTAAAACGTGCATAAATAATATGAAAGTGCACAACTCGAAAGTAAAAGGAAAAGCAAAGTGCAAGCGACAACAACAAGCGGAATTAATATTTGCTATTTATGTGTAAAATAAAAGTAGCCAACGCGATGCGAGCAAAACTGTCACGCGTTAAGCGTTTTTGTGAAAATGTGAAAATTCGAAAGATTCGGCCCAAGTGTCTGCTAGCCGCAGTGTTTTGTGCAATTGTATAATCATTTGCGAAGATTGGCTGAATTTTTTTCGAAAAAAAAATTTTAAAAAAAAATATATATACAAAAAAGCAATATTAGCTTTTTCTGGCCAGACGAGTGCAAATAAAAGTCAACTAAAGTCAAGAAATATTAACCACCGGCGTACCACGAGCGGCAAATTTCACTGGCGAAAGGAAAAAAGGTAAGCGCATATTTTCTATATAATACATATATATACATATTTTTTTTCTATATCATTTCTATACACTTTACGCAATTTAGCTTGTTGTACGTATAAGGAACGCACACATCTGAAAACGTATGTACATGCGTGACATTGTTATGCATGTAAACGCATATAGCACATTTGTTGTTGTGTTATACTTTTACTCCGTTATCTCGTTCGTGGCAGCAAATTATTGTATTATTTATGTAATTTTTTACTAAATCACAATTTATATTCTAGTAGATTTCACTTGTCATTTGTCTCTTTTTCCTGCTCAATTACATAATGCAAATGTGTGCGCGATAACATACATACATACATACGAACATAACTACAAATGTACTAGATATGCGCGCCCTCGGTGAGTGAGTGAGCAAATGGGTGTATGAATGAATTTTCACATTTAAGCGATTTTCATGTGGCTTTGGCATTTTTTAATTTTTTTTTGTTTAATTTTCTTGATTTTTTGGGCTTTTTAAGTTTATTTTTTTATTTTTTTTAGTTTCATGTGATTTTTTTCTTTCTCGTACTGTCGTGCTTTGTTATCTTTGCGCCGCAAGTGGGGAGTTGTAGCCGGGCGAGAAGTCGCATACATACAAATACTCCTACAAATAGGCGCGCAGAAGATTGCTGCTGATAATTTAAGATTTGGATAGGCGGCTAAGTAGGTAGACATGCAGTGGCGGATGTGCATACATGTAAGTATATTAGTGTGTGTGTGTGTATGCAGAGATGTTTGCGGCAAACTATCTAGTGCAGGAGTTATGCAACTGAAAAAAGTAGCAAATTACATGCTTGGCGCTATGGTTTTTTGTGTCCGCTGCGAAAGTAAAAGTTAGTTTTTTATGAAGGCAAAAAAGTTAATATCTCATATATAAATAAATAATAAAATTATTATTTAAAGCCATACAATCAATTTAAAATTTATATTATGACAATTTGGTGCATTTTATGTACTTATTTTTGGGATCATAACGCAAGTATTTGTTCCGAAAAATATATAACGTAGGCCTATTTTTGATCCACTTTAACGTTTTGCCAGTACTATTGGAGCCAATAATTCTGCTGCAGTTTACACTTGTCGTCAATTCAGTGGCGTAGCAAAGTGGGGGGACGGCGGGGAGGGCCACATCGGGTGTCACCTTTTTTGGGGTGACACCCTCCCGGTCTCTCAAAAATAAATCTCTAGCACAAAAATTTCTATTTCGGAGATTACTCCACTAGCACTAGCTCAGCTCTATGTATACGGTTACCGATTGGGTGTCTCTACATTTTTTAAAGTTAATTGTGGAATGGGATTCTACAGAATCTCTTCCAAAACTTATGATTGCACTGAAATTTTTCATGACGGCCCAAAATATAAATTTCGATGAATTTATTGTTCAGTTTGCAGCTGCCAAAGCTAGAAAAAAATTTTAATTGTATAACAATTACTTTTCTGTCTTAGTTATCGCACGTACGGCACGGCAATACTTACTACTTCAGTCAATGAAATCTATTACTTGCTATCTCAAAAATCTTTCAAAATATTATTTACCTTAAAAGCTCAAGAAAGTAACAGCGATTTGCCGAAAACACTTAGGCTTTAAGGTGCGCATTTCTGTCATATTTAGTAGACATTAAAAATTCATTATAATCCTATAAATCCAAAAATTAAAAAAAAGCTCGCTCACGGAATACCGATAAGCTGCCAAAGGTTTGTAGCGAGCGATAACTTATCATTTGCAATAGTCTTAGGCGCCGATGTCTTTAATATATTGATGACAATTAAAACTTCCACTCCTCTTCTGCTTCAAGCCAATTAAATAAGCCTCACTTACAATGTTGCATTTGACACCAGCAACACAACCAACACAACTGATACACGTAAAGAACTTAAACATGTATGCGTGCATGTGTGTATTTACACACATACAAACAAGCAAAATGTACTTTCGCTCTCGATGCCGGCACGCCAATAACCTCTACAATAATACAAAAGTCACACAAAAAGTCCCAACAACAATGAATTAAAACAAACAACCCAGTGACAAACTCAGACACATTTCGAGTTACAAATCTATGCATGTACGTATATACAAGTATGTACATACATACGTACGAGAGGACAGAGTAAATTTGCGAAAATCCAATATTTCGCACAGTTACCGAGTGACTTAGATTCTTGAGCGCGCGCGTCCGACGAACTACAAAAGCTAGTCTGGAGCTTGAAGGCTTGGCTAACTGACTGTTTGTCTGGCTTGCTTGATATGGTTGGCATGCGACAATGCTTACATACACACATACATACAAAAAATTCGAATACGGTAGCACAGTTGTGGGAAAAAAATGCAAATGGAATCAAAACAAAAGCGCAAAATGCATTTTTTTTGCATGGAAACAGTAGAATGTAAAACTTGAAGTGGAAATATAAGCGGAAGATGGGTTAAAAATGAAGTGGGTTAAATTAAAACTAGTGAGGAAAAAAAAAAACCAAAAACAAAAACAAATTACAAGCAGTATACCTATTAAACTGTATTTATAAGATACTTTGCTATTTTTTTATTTTATTAGCGCTTTCTGATCAGCACTTGTCAAGCCTTGTCTTACATCAAAATAATCAAAAGTGAGAGATATAGAGATATAGACGCTCTAAAAAATGTGGAAAAATTAAATCTAATACCTTGTATGTCGTATGTAGTATAGTATGTATGGTATGTGTCCGCTTAAATATTTTGCGATTTGGACTTTTTGTACGCTTATCACATCCATTTCGTCCAGTTTTTAATGTTGGCTAACAGCCAACGAAGAGGGGTACCTTAGCAATTGACGTGTGTTGCGGCCGTAAAACGGCACCTGACTAAAAACAAAAACAATAACAAAACGGTTTTGGTAAATATTTGCTTGTCATATTTCCCTTTTGTTTGTGTGCGCCATCCCCCTTTTTTCCATAGTTTTGCCAATTCGCGCTCACTGTGCTCGCATAATAGAGCGATTGCCGCTTATTTGTTGAGCTACTTCACATGACATATGGCAAAATGAACACAATTTGTTGTTTTGCATTTATTATTAAGAGCTATGTATGTGTGCTTATACATCCAAACACATGTGATTAACTAACAGTTAGTTTTGTTAGTTTCGGGTTCAATAACTGCTAATCATATCTACAAGTGAGAGAAAAAATATTTTTTTGCATACACCCACACATTCTCACTTGCAAACAAACATATATACACACGTATTTATTTGTACTCTTATTAAAATCTATTTTGCCAAAAACAACACTAAAGTAGTACAAAATTATGCAATTTTTTTTTTTTAATAGTCGGTGGAATCATAAATTTTGGCATAAGCGAAATTTAAAGAAACTTAAACACATACATTAAGCGCGTAATAATAAGTAAGGATGTGCTGAATGCGTTACAAACTGGAAAACAGTGACGTTAGAGTGTAAAAATAAAACTTTAGAAGCGCTAGCGTAGCGAATTGCTGACTTTAACATATTTAACATTTCTGAATCAGCAAACTTATGATGATTTAAAAATTACCGTTATCAGGCAGACTTAATAATTTGCTTTTGCTATTGAAAAGCTATTGTATAATATTTATTATATATATGTTAAATTACCATACATTTATTAAATTACCCGTTATTATTTCAAAAACATCAAATTAGCAGAATTTAGATTTTCTGTTGCGTATTTTTGCAAAATATCAAGTAAAAGTTTGAAACAATTCTTATAAGACGTAAAATCAAGAACTATTAAATGAGCAATGAATTTTGTTAATGATCAAATACCTAATAAAACTATATAAATTATACAGTTATACAATCTAATTACTATAGTTTTGAGCGATTTCAAACAATTATAATACATATTTAGTTAAAAGAGATGAAATTTGTACTGATTTTTATTGTAATTGTTCTAGCAAAGAGAACGACCGATATATATATATATATATATATATATCTGCTTATACATTCTTATTTATTCTACGTAAGCATAAATGTATGTATATACATAAATACAACTAGACCGTTATATGCACATACAAGTTAGAAAGCTTTCTTACCGCGAATGTAATACACAAGCAAAGAAAACGCTAAAAATTACGGTCGAGCCTCTTAAATGAGTTTATATAAGCATTCCGGCATAGTCGTGTGTGTATGCCTAATATTTAGGCAGTAATAGTTGTCACGTTACTCAAGGTAGTACTGTGGTAACTTGTATGTTTGGCCGATATTTTAGGTAAAAAGTGTGTAACAGGAACTGGCGTCTACATATTCGGTATCTGGGGGCTTGAATAGTTTTGTTCCGGTTTGGACAATTTTTGGTCAAAAAGTGGCACAACTCAAAAGCACTATTCGTGCAAAATTTTATTCGGAAACAATGATTGGTTCCTGATTTGTTAAAAGTGAAAGAATTAGATGGAATTTAAAATTGTGTTATATGAGAAGTTCGCGTGATTGTAGTTCGATTTCACCTATTTTCGCACTGAAATACAAGAATGTCCAAATAGTTCTATGTACTAAAATCGGTTGATATCGGTCGAGTAGGTCCCGAGATATCGGGTTTCACTTAAATGTGGGCGGTGCCACGCCCATCTTTCAAATTTAACCCAATAAAGCTCTTTAGTATTATCTCGGGTGTAAAATTTTATGTCGTTTATGTCTCTATAAGATTTCTCGAACTTTTAGTTGTTTTTAACAAACCCGTTATATGGTGAGTGGGCGGGGATAAAATTCAAATTTACCCGTTTTCACCGGGTAGGTAGATATACTAAAAAGATTTGCATCAAACATGGCTTAGGAAATATGTACATGCAATTTATTAGAGGGTGGAGTCACGCCCACTTTTAAAACATTTTAGATGCCCTTTGATAATGAAATTCGTTGTACCAAATACCAGTTTTGTACCTTATTGTGGAGCTTAGTTATAGCACTTTATATGTTTTCCTTTAACAGCGTTTTGTGGGCGAGGCAGTGGTACGATTAC